AGCTAGCTCTGTTGCTACTCTAAGAGATGTCTTGTTAATTTCTATAAGACTTTCTAATTCAAACTTAGTTATTTTTCTTTTTTGATATTGTTCTAACTTTTTTCTTAGTTTAAGTATCTGCTTTGCTATATCTTCTGTTTTTGTAAATCTTCTTTTAGAGTTTTCTTCTGTTTTTGTAAATCTTCTTTTAGAGTTTTCTTCTGTTTTAAGCTTTACTGTCTATTTTTTGATTTTGTTATATCTACATGTCTATTTGTTACGTAGCATTTTTTATATTTGTTATGTTTGTTCTCTATTACGTATTTTGTTTTTGTATAACCAAATAGATCTACACAACAGAGTCAAGTGCAATTCTCCAAAAAAATACTTGTAAGAAAAAAAATACTTGTAGTTCTTCGAGTTTTCTTCTCTATCTACTTGGTCTTTTTTTTTGAGGCCTTAGCCTCTTAAGAGACTATGTGTTTCTTTTTGTCCTCTTTTTTTTTCTTTAAGGTTGCAAGTATTGTTTTTTAATATTGTTTTCTCTATAACTATAAGTTTATATTTATAAGTATTTGTATACAAATGATTAGCAGAGAGAGTTGCCTTAACTTGCTCTCACAATATATAATATTTTTCACTATTTATATTATTTTAAAATAGATTTGAAAATTTATTAATTTATACATAGTGTGCAAACATGTATTATTATATATCATGTGATATATATTAATCTTACATTATAGTTAATTATTTAACATCTCTTATTTTTGTCGACATCACTTGATAACATTTCTCTTTGAATATTATAACTGCGATGAATAAAACAAAAAAAATATTTTTAATGACAAACGTGATATTTCTTCAACTTCAACACAAGACTATGTGAATATTTTTGACCTGCTACATTCTTCAACTTTGACATGGAACCATGTGATTAATTCATTCTTTAGCTTCTATATAATAATTATTTATTAAAACATTTACAATAATTCTTCTTTTGCCTTTTATATATTCTCGCCAACAAACAATTCTTTTGACTACTAGACTGAAATAAATAAAACAGACCAAATAAATATTATTAATAACAAACAAGATGTTGCATTAACTTCAACACAAAATCATGTAATTATATTTGTTTTTTGGCCTTTGTATTTTGTAGTATGTTTATTGTTTAAACAAAAATTCTATCTTACAGATTTGTGAACCAAACTCAGGATCGTTTGTTTATACTTTGGTGGATACTGAATCTGATGGATCAGATGAACTACCTAATTCTTTAGAATTAACTTCTAGACCTTCTTTTCCTAACTAGGATGACTTGGATAATGAATCTGCTGGATTGGATAAGCAAACTGATTCTTTAAATTTTACATCTGAACTTACCTTTCCTAACTGAGTAGATAATAAATCTGATGAATTAGATGAATCAGACAAACTAACTAATTCTTTAGAACTGACTTCCGAACTTATCTTTGCTAATTGGAAAGAATTCAAGAATTGGATATATAGATTTGCATTAAAAGAGGGTTTCAATTATAAGACCAGAACAAGTAAAATTATTCAAGGTATAATGAGAAGGGCTACTTACGAATATATTAAATCTAGATCTCATATCCCACAAGTTACATCAGATCCAACAAAGTAACATAATACTTATTCCCAACAGATACTTTGTTCTTGGAAGCTTAATGTTACTTGTCCAAAAACAAGTGGTATTGTAAAAATAAACTCATTTATTAATGAATATAATCATCTACTTACTTCGATGATCCAAGAAATAGCCTCACGATTTCAGAAGTTGATAGCAGAAATGTTAGCTGATGTAGAGAAATATGTTGTCCAAGAGCGGATGGATTCAGAATCTATATATCCCTTACTAAAACATGACTATTCAAATCAACCTATCTACAAGTGGGATTTATATAATGTAGTTTATCAGTTCTGGAAAAAATAATAAAGAAGAAAAAACCAAGATATGAAGAATAATTTCAATTCTAAAGAGAAGAGAAGAAAAGAAGATAAAGTCTAGACAAAATAAAAGAAAAACAGAAGCTTGTAATCTCTGGAAGAATTGGAAAAGGAAAAAGAAGAGACAATCTAAAAAATTTAATTTTAGAGAAAAAGTTCAATTAGTAATGCAGAAGAGTGATCAAAAAGAAGCTTATAGTATCACAGAAAAAGAAGTACAAAAATACAGAGAAAAACTAAAAGAAGAAAAAATATTTAGTTTAATTATAAAATTTGTAGATATACCTGATAGAAAAGTCTGGAAGAAAAGAAGAAAAAAGAAAAAATCTTATAAGATGAATACGAATAGATGAATAGAAAGTAGAATAAAGAAACAAAAAACTCTTCTCATAGATCATCTGGTCACAAAATCGAGCTAAAGGTTACCACATAGATAAATTACTAAACTTACTAATCAACATGCTTTAGTGTATTAAAAAAAGAGATACAAAGAGCAAAATTATACATAAAGAAGTAAAAGAATAGAAAAAACTCGAACTCAAAAAGTGGCCTAGAAAAGATATTATCAAAAATTTACTACGAAGAAAATTTTTTGCAAACAAAACTGAGAATCTCAAAACACTCTGAAATGCAGATTAATTATGTAATACAAACATATGCAAAGCAGATAAACAAACAAATACATTATTGAATTATGTGTCACATGTTAAGAAGCAGAGACGAATCACGCAAGACCAGAACCAGATAGTTCACAGGCAATTTGGGTAAACTCATGAGAAATTTTGAAAAAAGGCGAAGTCGCTTCTGGAAACAGGATTTAAAGAATCTAAACAAAAAGAGTAACTATTAAATAAAGTATAGAGTATAGACAGAGTTAATAACTATAGATTAAAATAGACAGATATATAGAACAGAAAGAAAGCAATCAGACTCATAAAAGTAATGATGAAAGAATATGGTAAAGAAATAATAGCAGAAGGTAGCAGATTGGTAATGGGTCTAGAAGATCATATAGATAAGATGATAGCAGAAATAT